ACGATTTTCCTTCTTCATTTCGTGGTTTTTTGACCAATGCTGCATCGCCTTGTGATCAATTTGTCGGTCATTTTCTGATGACTTTGGCGTTCCTTTCGTCTCCTGAAAGGAATCCCGGCTCAGCGCATTTTCCGATAGAAGCAATTTGTCAAAATTCGATTGTGTTCCTCTCCACAGTGGGTTAACAGCGCTAAACAAACTACATATTTTAACAAATAGAAGATTCAGGCCCCGTCCTCTTCCACACTCTTAGCCAGGGATATTCATTGTTTGTATCTTTAAAATTTTTGGAACACTTGTCGAGGGTTTGTCAAGAGTTTAGCCATATGTAAATATGACGATTTTTATCTGAGTACCATCATCTCTTCTCCTGAGTTACCACTTCCGGGTCACTTTGAAATATCTTTCAACCCTGCGCATGGCGATCAAAAATATAGTGCATATTTATATCTGTATATATACTTTTCACTTTGATGCTTTTCGCCTTTAATTATAGCGCATCTTTTGCATCATCGCAGCTAACAGATTTTCATTTTTGCTTTGACCGTATTTTTACCACTCGATGATCATGTGCTGGTGATTCTGGCGTTTATTTTTTTTTGATTTTTTCTGCAAGAAGTTTCTTCATAATTTGTATGGTCTTTCATCTCATTCATTAGCGACCCTGTGAACTCTTTGCGTATCACCGGTATAAGGAATATAACAGAAGCTAGCCGTTTAAGGGTTTTAGGGATACTGGGGATTAGAGGAAGAAGGATATGAAGTTACTTAGGGACTTCGTTGTTCCTGTTTGTATCGGTCGAAATTTTCTGGCTGATTGCGTTTCATGTCTTTGAGAAGCTCAGAACAAGTTTTTGTTGACAGTAAATCTTCGGTTTTTTCAGCTAAATCCGATTTAGAAACGACAAATAGAATACTGGAGTTCTTGGGGTTGATTTTTGATAAATATCAGCTGTTTACATGCGCTGATTTAGCTCTGTATAGCTTCCTACAGAGGAATTATTTGGATGATAGAAGCCCAAAATAGAGAAGAATGAATAATTTGCCAGTTGCATCCATGACGAAAAAGTGCAACAGTTTCCGAAGTACCTGTGTAAGTATAGCCCTTAAAAATTTGGTCCGCGGTGGGCTTTTTATACAAGGTAAGATGTCGTCCTTTACTATGCTTTGGTCGATTGTCACATTTTTTCCTTTTGTTTTTATAAGTATTTTACATATATGGTAATAGTTTCTGTAGCAAATGCTAGTTTATCTTCATTCCGTTTTGT